ACAGGACAGGATGATCATCAAACACACAATCAAATGTTCAATTTGTGCAAACTTGGGCGGGCAATGTATTTCGCTGAACGTCAGTTTCCTCATATATGCAACGGGTTGGATCCCGGTGTCTACCTGACAGAGTTATTATGACGAATAAATGAGAAGGCGTGTGGAACACTCAGGCATATTCTGGCATTAGTGGAGCTCTCAAATTAACATGAAATTAGCTGCACAAAGTGGGGTAAGCAGAAAAACACCCCCCAAAGATGTCCACATCTGAATCCCTGGAACCGGTGACTATGTCACCCCCATGGCAGAAGGGACTGGGATTAAAGACCTTGAAGTTACCCAGGTGGGCCCAGTACAATCACCAGGGACCCTGTGTGTGAAAGAGGGAGTCAGAGGGGACAGTGACAAAGAAGACTGGTGACAGACACAGGTCAGAGAGACAGGATTGAGGGCTTGCAGAAGGAGGACGGAGCCAGGAGCCAAGGGATTCGGGCAGCTTCCAGGAGCGAGGGAAGGGGCGGGAAGGAACACAGCCCAGCCGACACCTTGCTTTCCGCCCAGTAGAAACCAGCTCTGACTGCTGACCTCCACAACCGGAAGGTAATAGGTCTGTGTTGTTTTTAAGCCACTGAGTTTGTTTAACTGTTACATCAGCAATAAGAAACTAACGCAAAGAGCAAAGGGCTGGTTAAGTACAAAACATTCATTTTTCACATGTAGTTTAAATTGTATTTTGATCTGTCCTCCAATATGATTTACTTTTCTTCTTAATGATGTCATACCCAGCCGGATCAGGGAGGATTAAGCACGTCCCCCTGAACGATTCACATTTTTCTGTCTAGCTCCCGAACCACTGGCCTTTCTCCCATTGAAGGATAGGAAATTGCAGGTTGTCTTATAAAATCTCTAGAAAACAGGCCTTTTGATAATCACACTTGTCATATTGGGAGCAGGCAGCAGCAGGACAGGGACAAGCAGGAGGGCCCAGAGCCACGAGAGGAAACAGTGCTGTGATGGACTGTGGGCAAGGAGAAATGAAGGGCAAGTTCAGAGAGACGAGACTGGACAGAAGGTCAAGGCAGATGAGCAGTCACTCAGGAATCCAGAAATAGAGATCAGGAGGCATTCTAGAAGATCAGCGATGGGGAGAGGCCCAGTAGAGTGAAAGTGTAAGGAGCACAGGTCCCAGCCACTGTCTCAGCCCCAGACAGAGGAACTGCAAGGGGAGAACGCAAGGGGAGGGGTCATTAAGCAGGAAAGAATTCAGAAACCCAGGCCCATAAGCAATGGAGCAGGTTTGCATGGACACAGGGAGGCAGAGAGCAGTGGCTACGCTGGGAGCTGAAACAGGACCACAGCCAAGAGACAAGGTGGCGGCAAACCTTCCCAAACAAGACAT